AAGAGGAGGAAGTGCTATAAAAGAAGATAGTTCCCTGTTCAGTTACCCTGCTGTCCCTCCTCAAAGTGAAAGCTGTTTCTTCCCTAATTGGTCCCAGAATGAAGAATAACACAGTGTAGAGGCCAAGGCACTTCTCTATCACCAGCAGCCATGCCAAGCACGAGACAAATCTTCCCTTGTTACAGTCCTCTCACCTCCAATTTTCTTTGTGACATCCCTAAAAATGATTAATTCCTTCTTGACAATGCATGATTATGGTTTATGATTATGATTATTTGAATTAGCAGGCTGTGGGCATCCCATGAACAACACTGCCCTACCCTCATCGTTTCATTGTGTATTAAATGTCATTAATTGCAGAGATGTATGCACAGGTCAGGGGCTTCCCAGTTCCTCTTGCCTCAGAGCCAGAAGGCATTAACCCTTTGAGGGGAAAATCACACCTTCCTAGGGCCAGGATGAGCTTATGGATGAGGTCAGTTGATGGAGAAGGACCAATTTAAGTGAAGGATGCTACGATACCATGGTCTGCAACATCAGGGACTTGAACTCCAGATTCCAGGAAGAATTTTCCAGTTCTGTGAGTCCAACTGAAACTCTCTGTGATTTCACAGGTTTTTTTAATGGGAGTGAAGACACTGCAGCCAAAGCAGCTGGGTGTCAGAGTACCAATTACCCTGTGACAGAAAGGGCTGCTTCCCTTGCCTTCCCCGTGAAGAGCCTCATTAGGACTGGAGTTTTAATGGTGCTGGCAGGTTACACTGGGGAGAGACAGGAGTCACTGAAGACAAAGTGAACTATATACTATAAATATGCTCTGTATATCATATATATGTATATCTGTATGTACCCATATACAGAGGAAATACTAAAACACTGCCCAGTTGACTACAGTGGTAGTACTTGATAGGACTTCATCCTTCAGAGAAGGATCTATCACCTAAAAATGGGCTTTAGTGCTTTATTGGCTTGTGCCATTCAGCCTTGCACCTTATGTGTGATTAAATTGTTTCCCATAGCCAAAAATCACATTTTCCTATACTCTTCTCAATGAAATTGAAATTTACATCCCATTTCAGATGAGAAAAATCTATCTCAATTAAATTTATGTATAAAATAGCAAACCACTTCCATCCAGATTTTATTTCTGTTTATCTTGGAGGTGCCTGTACTGCTTTATGAGAAGAGGCAGAAGTGTAAACCCATATTTTATGGTGAAAATGACAGTAGAAGTGACCTTGGTCAAGCAGATATTGCTTTTTCAACCATGTCTAGAGGAGATAATCTAACAGCAGTCTGCAAAGCATCATGTTTCCTTAGATCCTGCTACAGTAATTCAATCATGAGCATATAAAATTAGATGAAAAATAAGGTAACTAGCCTTCTGGGACTGACTGATTGCAATAAATATTGCCTCCTGACAGTAAGCATTACACTGTCCTCTTTCAAGAGAGGTTACCTCCTACTACAGCAGCTGCTCTCATTCCAGCCTGTGCCAGGTAGCAGTGCTGTTAAATGTATTCTGCACGACAGCAAACAATCTTTTAAGAAATTATATGTTGTTTTTAAAGTACCAAAAGAGAGAGTAGAAAACTTCCAGCTTTTGACCTTTGGGATCAAATGAGTGATGCCAGACCTTGTTTTTTTGGGGTTCTTTTAGGATAGGTATTTTCCCTTTCCCTTGCCTTTCATTTAAGTATCATGGAGTATTTCATAAGCACTAATTGATTTCTCCAATCTTACCAACCTTGCCATCCACTGTAGAGAAGTTCAGCTCAGCCATACTCATGTCTGTGGCTCTAAACTCAATGAAATTTGCAACAGCAGGTCACAAAGGAAGGGACAGAGTGAAACTGAGGTACAGTGGAGGTTATTCTCTGCCAGTACAGAAATTGTTTTCAAGCCATAAATATTTGCCCATGTGTTTGTCCTATGGACAAATGAGAAAATACAATCTTTTAAGCTATTACAGGCTTGATTACAAGAAAATCACTTAATTTAGCTACCTGCAAAGATACATATGAGGCTGGCATAGGGTACACCAGTGATCACTGTGAACACACATTTTCATGTCACAGTCCCAGAGTAGACAGCAAGACCTTAGCTCTGGGTGCTTTTATACATATTGATGAATTTTATACATATTATGGAGATTTATGTATTCCATACATATTTAGATACAAATTTATGTATGTTAGACATATCATGGAGAAGAAAGCACTAAACAGCTACAGGTACTGACACTGTCTGGTCTGGAACATTGGCTCCACCTGTGGGGAATTTTTTTGGGGAAGCAAAGATGGGAACTCCTGGCAGAAGCCCTTGGGGAGCAGACATTGTAAGACAAACCCCTGTTCACCCTGGTGGGCTTGCTCAGTCTGGCTGATCAACTGCAGGATCTGCAAGGTCCCTTGATATATCCTCATTCAAGGAGCTTTTCCTTTTATGTGTTATACTTCACACATTATTATAAGAATTTATTAATTCTTATTATTATGAATAAATAAGATTTTCTGTTAATCTAAACTCTACTAGAGCATGAATGCTTGTGAGCAATAACCCAACACCCCGAGGAGCTGAGGCATGGCCAAGCTGTGGTCTGAGGAGCTGTGGAAAAGGAGTTGTCCCCTTAGTGGATCCAGATGATTCTCCATGAAACCACAACACCTGTTTATCTGACCAAAGTCTGACAGGATGACATTTTTATCCAGCAATCTGTACTTCATCCAGAACAGAGGTTTCCACTGTCCTGGCTCACATCAGCTGCAACAGGAACCAAAGGGAGCTGTCCCTGCTGCAAGTGCACCCATAGCACACATCTGAAGTTAGATGGATCCTAGAGGAAAAATGCCAAAAAGAAATGTGGTTCCTGCAAGCTGCTTGAAAGCAAATAGGTTGAAAGACCTCTCAGTCGTGTAAATAAGGAATAACTCCACCAAATGAAATATTTTTATAAAATCAGTGAAAATGGAAATTCTACAAAGATTTCTCTATTTTCTCACGTATGCATATTCTTTCCAAAGGCATCTGAATGCAGACACTGAGATGAGCTCCACAGGTGCAGCTGTGCTGTGTCTGTGCTACAGTGAAATTTGAGAATTTAGTCCTGAATAATGAAAATTCAGATATATTCAGCAGATGTAAATATATCTAACCCTAATGACCTTATAATTGAGTTATTATTTGCAGCAGCTGAGAACCAGGCCCATAGTTTATTATGCAAAATTATATTCTTGTGTACTGGAATAATGTACACACAAATAAAACTCATTAATCTCTTCAGGTATCACTGCAGGTTTTTGTGGATGAGATATAATGTAATCAAAACCAAATCACCTCATAACTGTTGATAAGGCCCTTTATAAAACTTAATCTTGTTATTCACAAATGCTTCTAACTGCAGTAAAACAATTGGTGCAAAGGAAATGGATGCTGTCTCTGGTAGCTCCTGACAGCTGTTCTTGAAATGACAACAAGAAGAAAAACAAACAAGGTTTTTCATTTAAAGGAACTTTGTAAACATAATATTTACTACAGAACTGAATGTTTATTGACAAATGACACTTCTTTGCATTTGTCTGCCATACCTATAAATTCAGATTTACAGGTAAGTCCATTAAGTTAATTAATCCATTAAATTAATTAGTTTATTGCCCTGTTAATTCTATTTTTCTGTACTGTTTTGCTAGATTTTTTTTTTTAAATAACTCTAAATGCCTGACACACAGCCTATCATTCCCTTCCAGGGGAAAAACATGATTTTACAATTGTCCTAGTCCAGGTATTTTACTTTATACTATGGTAACCATTCTGCTTCTCCATTTTATTTTGATTATTTCCCATTTTACCATCTCAAATATTCTGTCCTTACCCTTGGTGTTCACCACAAACAGTTAGTGGCAGCAGTGGGTACTTGGCAATCAGAGAAGGGGCAGCCCCTGCATCAGCACAGAGACTCCTGATGTCCCCCTGCCATGGGCACCACTATCCCAGCTTGCTCAGAGCCCCATCCAACCTGGCCTTGAACACTTCCAGGGATCCAGGGGCATCCCTAACTTTTCTGGGCAACCTGTGCCAGGGCATCATCACACTCACAATAAAGAATTCCTTCCTAGTATCCCCTCGAAACCTCCTCATTTCTCTCCTGAGTTGTTGAAAATAAGGAATTTTTTGTTTGCTTGATGCTTTTCAAGCATTTTTTTCAGAGGACAAACAGCCATTTGAGCAGCTTCAATCCTAGGAGCAGATGACTGGTGTGCATGCATTTTGTGTGCAATTTTGGGTAATTAAGCAGAATTAAATAATATAGGATTAAGTTTTGTGGAGTTCTGTGTTTAGTCTTAACAGAGCTGGAGAAAACTTCAATGACTGCTCTCCTGAAATGCATCTTTAGCCCCTTGGATACTCTCAGGCATTTTCAAAACAGGAAATCCCTGTTGGACCTGCAGATTATGCCAAGTTAAAGTAGATCCATGCTGAATGAGCAGGGAAGCAGCAGATATTCTGTACTCACATTGTCCATTAGGCACTTTTCTGTGAGCTGCCTTTTCTTGGCAAATTGTCTTCTCGTTGTAACTCACTTTAAATCACTCTGTTCACAATATTAGCTGATGTATCTGGAACTTAGTCCCAGTCACCCACAGTCAACCCCACCTTGCTGGCTTCTCTCTCATAAATTTTCTGATGTATTTTATCCTCCAGGTTTTGCTGTTACTTCCCTTTAAGTTTGCTTGTGGTGGCTAGAGGAATCTACCTCTACCTTCTGTGCAGGTATGCACAGAAAAAGGTTGTAAACATTTGCTTTCTAGCTACGAGTAAAAATACAAAAGAAAAGAAAAATGTTAAGAGTAAAGCTTTATTCATTTACTCATTTAAGAGTAAAGCAGACATTCATGGCCAATCTTTCAAAGCTGACCACAGACAGGATGTCTGGAGATACCAGTGCTGGCCCAAAATCCTGCCCCTGAGGCACAGCTGCAGTAACAGAGCCCAACACATACCTTCACATGTCAGGAGGAAGTATTCCAGATTGTGGCTGAAGGATGCACTGAAGTAAGTGCAGTTTTCAATCAGATCACAGGACAGGCACCTCCTGTTGAAGTTCCCATTTGTGCTTGCACTGAAAAAGTTAATACAATTCCATGAAGGTCACTGAGCAAATGTTATTTGAAAGCAACATTACTTGAACCTTTCTTTAGAACAAGAATATAAATCTAATGTGTCCAACATTAGTAAGAGACAAAGTATTTCCATTTGGTTGAGTTTAAATAGCAGTAATGTTTTTTTTTTTTTTTTCCCTCCTGCTTGAATAGAGAATATATAAATGGATACTGATGTCATTTTGCAAGGTCAGGTGGTTATGAAGGAAGGTACAGGTTTTTTTTTTAAAAAATGATGCTTGCAATTACACAAGAGGAAGTAATAATTTGGTGGATGAAGGCATGAAACAAAGGAGCAACTTTTCAACACTTATTTATATTATAACAATAAAGAGCTGGAATTGCTTTCTCTAAGTTTCTTATTGGTTGCATCACTGGTCTGATTTGCTAGCTGCTGCCTCAGAGGGCAAAGACCTTTTGACAGGTTTAAATAGCTGCTCTGAAAACCCCCAAGTAGAAAGGAAAGATTGTATTTAGGGATCTGTTGCTGAGGAAGGTAATGTGGCCTGTCCATTTGTTCACATGTTTGCTGGTAAGAGTCCAATGAATGTTGAGGAATTACAAATTATTAGCAAAAATTAATAGATAGCATTTTGCCCCACTATAGCACTTTGAAACTTCAAGAATATTAACCAAGAAATCATTCCAAATTTTCTGCTGTAAAGCAGATGAGTGTTTTTTGCTACCATTTCAAGAAATTAGGCTGAGCAACCTTCTTAGGATCACAGAGGCTGAAATGAGTAGATCATGTGCTCTTGTTTAGGCTCAGATTTTATCTCTGACAACATCCTAATTAAATCTACTAAATCAAACACAAAAAGGAGGGGAAAAAACCAACCTAAACAGGTCTTCATCTGCTCTTTCTCTGTTTGTGTGGGGAGATGAGGCTGATGAGGCACCAGGGTGAGATGGATGCCAACAAGGAAGAGTGGGGAGCATTTTCACTCATGCCAGCAGCTCTTGAACTGTGCCTGGACTCCATTTTTAAAGTGATGTTTTCTTCTCATTTCAAGAGAAATGAAGGGTTAATACAAATTTTAAATTTTTCTTCAGGGAAATAAACACTCTCAAAAAACTGTGGAGTGCAGTGAGCAGGCATATAGGTCTCAAAAAGAAAAAAATTATTCAATCACAGGTAACTTACTTTGCTCCAGTTTCCTTCCCACTGAGGAAAAAAAAGGTATGATGTCATGTGAGAGATGGAAAATGTACTGACTGTCCCTTATCCACTGATGCCTTCACCAGCTCTGCCCTTCACTGCAGATGTGGTGGCAGCAGGGTGACAGAAGAAAAATAGGGCAAATGGAATAATGATTCTGAAATGTGTATTTAAAAGTTTATGTTTCCTCCCCTTTGTAATCAGCTTCCAAAATATTTCACAATAGCAGCACTAACAATGGCTTGCTGTAACGCTTTTATTCATCATACAATTAGGGATGATGCTAAAATCTTCTGGAACTGCAGAAAAAGTTTTGTAATCATAAAATATTGTTGATCCTTTTCAGTTGCATGAAGAGGCAAACTACTATCTAATTTCTCAAAACTTCCATTGGAAAGTATAGACAGTTTATACCATGAGTTTATGTATTTCTGAATTCCCTCAAGTGCTAAGCAGTTCTGTTGGAAAGTTTTTGACAGTTAATCTTGAGACAAATTTAAAATTTGCATTAATATGAGAAAATTGCTAAACATAAAACATTTCCAAGTGTGAAGTATTTTTTTTCGTAGTGGTTGCACTGTTCTGTCTTTTCCAGTCACATATTGAAAGATCTTGTAATGCCATTAAAGAAAAAAACCCCGAAGGAACTGCTTCTACTGCAACTGCTTATCATTCATATAAAATTGAAGAAGTGGAAAATTCTGTATATGGGGTTATTAAAGCACATACCTGTATAAATGTCTCCTTCTTGGTGAATCTTCTGTGCTATGGAAATAACTGGAGGGGAAAAACAAAAGTGAATTGCACCATTAGAAGGGTGTTTAGAAGAATCTCATGCAACAACACCTTCACTCATATTGCCATTTTCATGATCTTGTAAAAGTAAGGAAAACTTAATCTGAATTAGAAAAAGATGCAGAGGGATACATTGCTGAGAGGCTCAAGAAAGCACCTTGCAGACTGCACTGCAATTAAAACAATCATGGAGAACCTTGGGTCCTACACTGGTCCTGTCCGTGGATCAAAAAGGATCAAGGGATTAAGTGGAAGACATCCACTTTTTTACCTCAAGATTCATGGCAGGGAGCTGGAACTGGATGATCTTTCTCTTCCAGCCATTCTGTGATTTATGTTTCTATGACTTTGTATCGTTCTGAGGTTATTGTTAATTGAGAACATCCAAAATCTTGAAGAAGCACTGTGCTCTTAATGATCACTCAAAATTTGTTGTGTTCCAGAGACTATTTACTCAACTGTTCAGTGACCTTAAGTAACTGAGAGGTGAGAACCTTGTACCCATGCAAAAATTTTGTTATTTGATTCCAAAAAGCTGTTTCAGTATTTTCTTATGTAATTTCTTGAAGTTTATATGAAAAACTGAATGTTTACAGAATTTATTTTACAAGCATAAAGAGCAAGTGTGAAGAAGGGTGGGCTTGTTTTCCCTGTTATTTTTTTTTTTTTTCTAATTTTAACTAAAGGTTTTTTTTTCCATTGCATTGCTATTTTTGCTGGTCTACAAAGGATTAATTCCAGAACTGACTAGGTGGTTGATGAAAACAATCTTCTTTTCTACAGAGGTTAATATCAAAAGTTGCAGCAGGAGAAATTACTCTTCTGCAAAAATTTATTTTATAGTCGTAGAAAGAGAGGTTTGAACCGTACAGATTGATCAAAATAACACAAGATATGTGTAATGGTGTGAGAGGTTAAGCCAAAATGGAGACAGCTTCTCCTGCTTTCTTATCCCCACCTCCTCATGCTCACGGGTTTCGGTGCATTCACAACATCTTTGTAACTGTCCCAGAGCCCAGGACTAAACAGAGGAAGTCTGATTTGTCAAAGTTTACTTACATTTTCTGCCTCTTTTCATCATATGCCAGTATCTTTGTCACATCCCAATCTCCAGACGTAATGGCCTGTAAATCGTCATTGCTACTGTTGGGCTGCCAGAAAGAAAGGTGAAGAAATTTCTTTGTTGTTAAAACTCCTGAAAAGGGAGCTCTTCTGGCTCCATTGCCCATGAAAAATAAACCAAACATCTGCAACTTCCACCCCTGCACCTGACATTTCTGTGAATCTGCAGGCATAGAAATGACAGAGTCAGAATCATCTTAACCATGACTGCACTGGAGATAATGAGGTGAATTCAGCACAGAGCAACTTCAAACCCCTTCCTCTAATCCAGCGTGCCCACATGCTTCTATTTAATCCTTTATGGCAGGGTGGAGATTTACTATCCACAACTAAGGTGGAATTAAAAAAACCAAACCAAAACAATAATAATGTTTGGAAAGAGACAATCGACTGACCTTCTCCTTCGAAGTATTTCATTTGGAAATTCACATTATCTTATGCCCAAATAAAGCATCACTGGAGGTGTTTTATGAACGCTTTTTTACATCTGCACCTCCCCACCTCGCTGTCACAAGCACAGACACCACTTTTTGTTGCTGTCTGGCTCAGGTGAGACCCAGGGCAGTGGCAGCAGAGAGTCACCTGTGACGATGACATGGCGATGTGGTAGAAATGCCCACGTCCTCCCTGAGGAATGGCCCGGACGAAGAAAAACTTCCGACCGTCCCTGGAAAAAATGGGCTCTTCATTCTGTAAAAGCAGCAAAATTAAAGGGTTCATTAGGTTTTACTTGGAATTCCTCAGCACTCCCATGCCCTGTAAAACTAATTCACAGTAAAATACAAAGTGGTTTTTGACAGCAACCTGGGGCAAAGAAAGAGCCCACTGAAAACTGGAGGAGGTTTTGAGCATTATTGCTTCTTGCTCCTGGGAAAGCAGACACCTTTCAGCTGTGTGAGGACAGGCAGCAAGGCGAGTTCCTTGGCTATAAAGTCAATTCCCATTTGCAAAAAGTGCACATATACATCTGACTACACTTGGAGCCTTTAGAACCTGTGTGACAAACCCTGCTTACCCTGCTGGAAGAACATCTCTGTTCCTGTCCTGAAGGAAACACAACTGAACAGCACCTAACTGCTGCCTTTCTCTACTGTCTTACAAATGCTTATCTCACTGAATTATTTATGGAGAGGATCTCCTGCAGAACTCTCCTTGACACAGAGCTCCTGGGTGAAAGTGGTGATTGACTTTTGTTGGGTGACTGGAACTTTCACCCAGAGATCAAGAGACTCAGCAGAAGGAAAATCAAACATGTGGCAAGCAAGCATCTCCTGGCAAGGAGTCTTCTTTTTGTGAACAAGAACCCTGAGGGACATGAGAAATCTCTGCTACATGAAGTGGTTGAGCAGCAGATTACCAGAGAAGGCACAAAGATGGTCCATGTGGTGGGACACAGGAGCACTGTACCAACAGGACTGGCTACATGAAGCTAACTCTAAATCTCAGCTAGCTGGGAGTGAATCATAAGCTGAACCTCTGCTGAAGGTGTCCAGTGATAGCAGGATTTTCTGTGGCTGGCTGAGCCTTTCCTTGGCTGGGCTTTGTGAACCCTTCTTTATCCAGGGCAATCAACAAGGAGATTGTTGCCAGCCTCTTCTGGGTCCTCTGCAGCTCAGTGTTAAACCCGTTGACTTTCTGCTTGGCACATGCCAAGACACCACACTGAACCAGCAGGAACCTGATTGTACAGGGAGACTTACGGCACAGCAAAGGAATAAACATTTTTATTTCCCGTAAGCTAACACATTATTCTTACTCTATGTTCCTTTGCTACTTTGCTCTTTACTGATTAATTCTTTTCTGCTATTTATCAGATTTGTCAGTGCTCTATTAGGTGTTCAAACTGTTCTTTTTGCCTTTTATTCTCCCCTGCTTAGGTTTTCAGTGTATTTAAAAATGTGCCCATTTGCAGCTTGTTGCAGCTCTATGAAATAATGGTTTCATTTATTTCTGACATTGTTCTGGAACCTGAAACATAAAACTCTATATTATTTCCAAATGTCTTTCATGACAGGAGAAACCTCATTGAATAATGACTGTGATAGCTCAGGCAAACCTTCTGCTTGACAGATTTTCCTTTCCTGAGGTAGGTAGCAATGAGTTCACTCTCCATTTCTATATCTGTGCCTCCTGCATTGTACATTCCAGCAATTCATCTCTGCCAGTGAGAGCAGGCATTGTGCTGATGAGTTTGAGGTTCATTCAGAGCCACAGGGGAAGGAGGTTCATGGCACAGGTGACAGGTGTGAGGTTTCAGCTCTGGGCTGATGATACAGGACAGTCTGTTTGCATGTTCCACTGCTGCAAGGGCAACACATGAGCACAGTCAGAGCTTTGTGACAGAGATGATGATTTACCCAGGTGGTAAATGGGGAAACAGACTGAAATTCTCTTGGAACAGGATTTGATAATCTTAGGGAGCTACACTGGCACATAATTAAAGCAGTCTGCACGTGATAGGAACTGTCCAAGCCTTTTGTCAACTATTGACTGAACCCACAATAATAAACAGAGCAGCCTCCTTGAGAAGAATACATCAGTTCAGTGCTACCAAAATACAAAACTTTAACTATGCAGCAGGTATGGAATATTTGGAAGTTTTTGCCACAGAGTATTTGTGAACACAGCTGGTATCAGTAGGTGCAAAAAGGGCTTGAACAGATTCATATTTCATTAATACATTTTAAACAATATGGATATAGTCTCAAAATCTGTAATCTACTTGATGATAGTGAAATATGAGAAAATTATGCCACCAAATACTTCAGCTTTATTGGAAAACAGAAGGTAATGGGAGGCTGCTGGAGAGCTCTGAACCTCCTGGAGGGTTCAATGCTGGAGCTCAGAGCTGCACAACTCAACTCAGTGCATCTGCAAATGGTCAGGACAAGAAAACAAGGAGTGCCTGAGGGGCTTATGCCAAGTTTGGCAGAATCAGGATGGGTGAGAGGACAATGCTAAACGCAGTCTGAGCTTCTGTAGATCCTAGAGAGGAGCATGAAGTCCTCCTCTTGTAAAGAGTAACAATTCACAAGAAAAAAGGTAGAGTGTATTCAACTGTGTTTGGAGAGGGATCACTGAGAATCACTGGATCTCCAACCACCTGAGGAAGACTCCTCTGCTAAATCAAGAGAAGATAAAGTGTGTACAGGATGATGGGGATTGCACAAGTGTCTCTGACCTTGAGGATTTGCATGATCAAACATGCACCAGGACAAATGTTTGAAAGAGAAATTATCTGATTTATGGTGAGTTGGAATTTTTGAAAGATTAGTGGACACAGAAGTATAGCTCCACCAAAAACCACCCACACATTAACATGGGCCAAACAATCATCCTATTTCAGCACCACACATTGCAGCTCCAAACTGGTTTGTCTGTGCTCACCACACTCCCAGCCTCCTGTTCTTCTACAGTGCCTCACATGCTCTTGGCTGGACTCCACACATTTCCTCACAGAAATCAGTGGTAAGGCAGGTTCTTTGTATATTGGCTTTATTACTGACTGACAGTTATACTTCCATAAGAATTATGATTTCCTGGTCCATCCTCTGGTTTTAAAAAGGAAACAAATTAATCTGAATAACTGAATCTTTTCCAATTGATTCTCTGATGTGTTTTCCCTTCCTCAGCAGTCTCCTGCCCTCTCTGTCTAAGCCACCTTTGCCCAGTTCCAAGAATTAATGATTTTGCTGTGTTGGCAATTATTCCTTCAATGAAATACCCCAGTACTGCCCATGTCACAGGCCCCTAGCTCTGATAAACAAGTAGGTGTGACATGAATTCTTTTAATTCCTTGCATAGTGGTAAGCACTTTGTTTATGTCCTGCAAAGAAAACAGCCAGTGTGCATTGACTCCACCAGGACAATGCAGTCACCTCCTCTTTAGGGCACAGGGGGAAGATCTCTTTCCATCTCTTGGCACACTCAGCCCCTGGGGCAATGCTGAGTTTCATCCTCATCCCTGTCCTCATCCTCGTCTGTGGCTGGCTGCACCACACCTTCGGCCAACTCTGAAGCCAGGACAGCTGCACCAAAATCGGGGTCAACAACTGGAGAGGATCCCATGTCCCTGGGTAGAGATCCCCTCCACTGGTGAGATGGGAACTCTTCATTTAAGCACCAGAAAGATTGTTTGTAGCCAGGAGCTGCTTTTTTGTCTCTGGTAGATGAATTTGGGTATTGGAGTTACGGAACTCTGGGTCCTATTCCTGCTGCATCCTTTCCTTTAGGCCAGAATTAGGTCAGTTATGGGGTAATTGCCTTGCAAAGGGGCTTTACAGAGTGAAAAAGTGGGTCCTGTTTGTAAGTTCCTCTGAACTCTGTTTTCATTTTAAAACTCTTGGCATATCTCCCATTAACTACATGCAAGAATCATTACTGGGTTATCATGCAGGATTAAAGCCAGGGAGCAGTAAAAGAAAAATGGTGCCAGGCTTTCAACATCTCCACCTTTTAAGAGAGTGAGTCTTTAGCTTCCCACTGAGGCCATCAGAAACACTGGGGAAATAGGAGGACTGGAAAGAAAAATGCAACCCAAAGAAGCTGTTATCAGGGGTGGGCAGCCAGCACATGCAGGCAGTTTTGAAGGTTACATGTCTCGAAACAATTTTATGGTAATCTCCTGGTCCTGCCAAAGTCAATGTCAAAGACTGCAGCCTTTGGTGGAGTTGCAATTACACCCTGGTTTGTAATTAAATTTTTTTTCAGGCCACATTCACAATTAAATAAATAATCCAATTAAAATGCCAGTAAAGTTTATCTTCAGCAGGTGCTCAGAAATTGCCTGATTTCTCCCTTGCTGACTCACTGCCTGTATGTGACCATCCCAGCACTATTGGAAAAGGGCTCCTTCACGAAAAATTGAAACAAAGTTACTTACAGCTATAATTAGTGTTTCGAACAGTTTGTGTGCTCAAGCAAAAGTATGAGTGAAGTTCAGTCTGGCTCTTGTGCTCAGAAGTGCACAAGCAAGTATAGAAATAAAAGAAGCATAAACTTCCAGAGTCCCTGGACAGTTTTAGTGAACACGTGCCACTTCATCTGACAAAGAGTGACAGAGAATTTCTAGCAAATCTTGTGTAAATACTGTGTATTCCTTCTTATACTTTAGGTAGTTTATCCTATTTTGTGCCTGCACAGGGAGTGGCTGCATTATTTCTCTTTGCCTGTGTTGGAGAGAGGCTCTCCAAAGATTTTGGACTTGCATAAAATGTATTCATGAACTTAAGCTCAGAAGGAAACATGATATTGTTTACTATGACCTTCCATACACAGACTTTTAAATGCCACTGAGTCACCAAACCACTACAACAACAGAACTCAAATTCATGGCTTGTATGCTTTCTCTCAGAACTCCCAGGATTTCTGACAGCTGAAAAAAGTCAGACCTGTCATCCTTGGAGACCCCCTCATGCCCCTGGTGAGCATTTTCTTGTCTCCTACTCCCAGCTGACTGTTTGTCCCTATCTGAGGATGTCCTTAAATTCCCAGGGAGAAGGTAAAACCCGTGCACGCTTTTCAAACCATGCATACATAGAGATTTTTGAAGGAGTCTTTTAAAGAACAAGGAAAGCAGTTGGATTCCTTGGTCCTGCTGATTTAAAATTGGGACACTTCTCAAAAGGAGATCTTTGGGGTGTGCTGAATCCAGGGTCCCTTGGCTGTGTGACCCCACTGCCACCACCCTGGCTGTCTCCAGAGGGGACAGGGCACCTGGCTCATTTGCAAATACTTATATTAAAATGTCTCAGCCAAGGAGCTACACTCCTGAGCTCCTGCAGCTGCTGCCTGATGTGCAGCTCATCTCCCTCTTGAAGAGGTTAGTGGACCCAAACTAGCATTTAACATTTTCACATCATCCTCATACTCAGGCACACATGCCATGAAAATACCTTTCCAGTTATCTAGAATAATGTGTCATAGAATAAAAGGCAAATATAGAAAATACAATTATCCCAGTCATCATATTCAGTCAAAACTAGAATTTTAAGTAATTTTGTTGTCAGAAATAGAGGCAAAAGAGCTATATAATTTTCCAGAATCCTACAAAAGCTTTTGAAGGATGCTATCAAATGTCTCCAAAGTCCATAGAACATGTTATTTTAGTTTAGCACTGAGATGTCTGACTCATTTGGCTGTAATGAACATCCTTCACTAGTATCAAACTAAGTGTGTGCTTTTTGGAGATGCAGTAAAACAAAATGTATTTCCCTGGAGCAGGCCCATTAGACTGACAGATCATTTACTTCAGATATTGAGGATAAAGCACCACCTTTTAATGCCTATCCACGTGGTAGGTGACTAAATAACCACAGCAGTGTAAAAACACAAGTTCCACTGTACTGTGTTAATGCTATAAAACACAATTCTACTATACTGCAGTAAATAGCAATGAGAGGATTATTTTTACTGCTATTGCCTTCAAACTTATAAAATAAATAAAGCCTGTTAAGTTTGAGTTTTTGTTGTTTGTTTGTTTGGGTTTTTTATTTTTAATTTTTTTTATATACAATATCTGGACAATTTAATTTTCCCATGATTTGGCTTGTCTTTTAACCTTTTGTTTCCTACTCAAGCCAATACAGTCCTTAGGAATGCAAAGAATATTTCAGCACCATTTTTACTCTATATCAGCAAAATATTATTTGAAATGCTTGGAACACATAATCTATTTCCAGAAAATCAATCGATTTTCATCTGGATCACACACAGCCCCACTGCTGCAGGACAGCCACTGGAGCAGAGGAGAGCATTGTTCTTGCTGTGAACTGATGTAGAGCCATTTCTACAGGCTCTTGGCTCCTCTGAACAGCCTGTGACAAAAAATTTCAAATGCTTTAAATCTGGACCTGGAAAAAATATATTGAATAAGGTATTTTGTGACATGCTGCTCCCTGTCTGGCACTCTGACAAGGCTTGAAAAGCAGTTCAGTGTTGTGGCTGAATCGAGATTACAGCTTCTTTCTCAAGAACAGCTTCATCTAATCTGAGGTCTCTTCACAAACTGAACTCCAGGGCAAGTGTTATATATGATATTTAAATGACTCATCATTCTATCTGCATGATTTTGTCTCTGAATAAAATGACCGGAAAGCAGCCACCATAGTATTTAAATTGTCACCATCAGTGTAAGGGCAGGGTATGAAGGATTGCCTTTGAGGCTGATCAGTCCTATACAGATATTGCCAGTGAGTGATTTTCCACCCACATCAGCTTTTCATCTCCTTTAAATACAAGTGAATTGCAGGCCAAGGACTATGGTACCTACCAGAGTGGATGGCATCTTTACTGAGAACTTGTTTGTTATACAGATCATGCCATCTTCCAGGTATCTCTCTCAAATCAGGAAATCGGTTTTTCTCTTTGGGGAAGAAACTCAATGAAGCAATTATCTTACCAAAAACTTGACCACAAGGAGAAGATCACTCTTACCTGTCTGTGCAGCCAGGCGTCACTCTCATCTTCATGTTTCTAAAATACAAGCAGATCATTAATACCATACTTGTCATATATTATATTTTGCCTATCAGTGCAGGAAGCTATCGGATTTGAGTTGAAATGTTGCTCAGAAATACAAGGAAATATTTAAATATGTGCTTCTGCAGTGGAATCCAGTGGCTGCTTTTCTTAACTTTCCTCCCTGATGGATAAGCATTCACTAGATCAAGAAAGCATTTTATGTACACAGACAAAACACATAAATCCACAGGATGTATTATTCCCCGAAGAAATAAATCTTTTAAAGAAATAAATAAAGGCTGAAATGAAAGTTATTAAGAAAGAAAAACTTCTCACCATGCTATATGCACAGAATTGCAGCATCTTTTTCAGGGGATAGGTGTATTAGAATAATTTTATACAGTGGAAACACATTCCAGTTTAAATGATGGAATCTGCTAATGGAATCTGCTGATCTTACATCAATGCACCATTTGCATTATTGCATTTATAGAAGGGATTAATAACCTACAATTAAGGTATGTATAGATAAGCATGAGCTGGTTTTAATGCCATTAAAAACATATAATGCAGCTAGAATTTTGCAAAGATATTTAGGTTGCAGATTTCTGAGGTATGTGAACTTGTGTGTAAATAAAGGTATTTCAGGACAGGTAATCACTATCCCTCAAACACACACAGTGTTCTTGGTGTAAAAGAAATAATTAAAAATTGTGAACATTGTTTATATCCTGTCTGCCTAAATTAATGTGTTCCAGCTGACTCCTCATCACCTAAAATAAGTTAAATAGTTTCTCCCTGGGGGGGTTATGAACGCTGAAGACAAGTGAGCGCTGTGCACATCTGCCCCACCTTGGTGCAGACCCCCGTGGTGGCGTCGCAGAGCGTCAGGATCGACACGTTCTGGGCCCTGTTCAGCCAGTTCACTGCCACCTTGGTGCTGGTGGCCCATTTCACCATGGTGATGTAGTAGTCCCTGCAAACACAGACACACACAAACCAGATCACAACGCTGCCATCCTAATTATCGTGATTTTGCAAGAGAGACGGTGTCGCCCTAAAAACTCAGCTTCTGAGCTTGCTAACATAGTTTTCTAAGGACTTTCCCAGGACAGTAACTGTAAACATAGATATGTGTACATTCTTTCTGTTACACGTCTTGTGATGGGCATTTCTCATGGCCAGTGCAGTGAGAAAGTGTTATCCTGACCATCCAATCCCTGGCCATGGTAAGAAGCCTATAAATCCTGGGAGGAAAAATAAACTCTGCTCTTTCTTGCACCACACCTCGACCTGTGTCCGCGTGATCTGTTCATCTTCAGCGGTAACAAGACAGGATCGCTTAAAGATGTTTTAAAGCATGATTTATTCTTCTTCTTCCACAGTCTCATGAAAGAGTGAGTACTTCTTCACCTTATTCACCAGATGTTCTTGGTCAGTGGACACAAGACTACAGGTGACAAGGTTTTTTAAAGGTTAATTAGCCAATAAACTAATGCCACAGAAGAAGGTTTCTACTTTCACACCAACAGCTAATTATTTTGTTCTATATGTCTTTGCTACAGTGCAAAGTTATATTCTTAACCAATCATATAATGACACATAAAACTACTTGTTATACCTTGTTATACCTGAAACTTTTTATCACCTTTATAACTACTTCTATATCTTGACTTTAAAACCTTAAAACTTCCTATGACCTAACTTACTATCTTTCTATTTAAACTCACATTCTTATTATTCTAAGTCTGGAAGCTTTCTCCAAGGCCTTAAATCAAACCCTGTGTCCATGTCTATATCTAAGCCTGCATTTACAAGGTTTTGGGAGCTTTCTGTGCTTGGAATTCCCACACTAATGAATTGGAATTGCCACATGGCAGAGCAGCCGGGGGCTGCTGCAGGCAAACAGTCCAGGAGAGAGCTGTGGTTTTCTCTAGAGTGGCGGTCTCTAGGCTGCTATATGTATGGATTTCAACCCCTAAAAATGACATTCTTAGGGCTGTGCAGGTGTTTTATCTGCCACTTCTGGAAGTTATTTTCAAAGAAGAGATGAATACAGAGATAAAGAATCTTTCATGCTATTCTGTCTTCCAAGAAGGATTGAACTGCCTGGAGCTACAAATTTACACACAGGTGGAAAAGAAATTGCAAACCATTTCCATTCTGAGCACGAGCACTCTAACCTGAGCTGACTCAGACCCCTCACTATCAATGGTTGGGGTCTTTATGCTTATGAAAAGGTGATGGCCTCTGAGTATGCCAGCTACACACCAAAGTACCCAGGAGTGTTGCATTAAAAGACACAGAGTAAGAAGGATAGAGTTCGGAGAGACACAGGGTTTCTGTAAAGCAGATGCAGCTGGTTGCCATAAAGGCATCAGCAGAGACAGTTTGCCTGAGCAAAACCACCCTCCTACAGTCCCTGCACCATCTCATTGCTGGACATATCCAGGTTGTGATGATCCTTGGAGAAAACCATGGGTGTGGGCTGCATAGTCCTGTAATCAGTATCTTCAGGAAAAACCCCCTACAATAGTGGGGACTGCAACCACTTAGGCTGGGCTGGAAAATACAGGAATAAAATCACTGATGGTTGCCTTCTCAGAGCCAGGGCATGGTGCTAGCAGATGTCCACCTCTGCAGCAATTCAGGGCTCCACTGCTTCATTTGTAGGGCACAACCCTGGCTGAACTGCCAAAGCTGGTGATGTTATAATATACTGCTGGGCCATGCAGGCCAAAGCATCCTTAAAGTAGGATTTTTTGCAGCATACAGTCTATAAAAAAATTATTAGTTCATTTGTTTGCTATAAAATATGTATAAGGAATTGTTGCTCTCACTGGAAATAAAGTGCTGTGCTGCTGGAAAGTCCTTTGTGTTCTGGCAAGAGCTCCTGCATATACTGAAGAGAAAGGGCAAAAGCACAAAGGTCTGTTTGTCTAAAAAATAACAAGCTGGAAATTGATTTTGTACTTTTCAGTAATATTCAGTGCCTGAAACTGGCTGTGGGAAAAAGGAACAAAAGGCCGCAATGCTTGCATCCACTGCACTGGGGAGAAGGATATGCCCAGGTGAGACAACAGCAGTCTGAAAATTTAGAGCCTGAAATAAACTTGTAATTTTACTCTTTATCAGCAACAGTGTAGGCCCTAAGAGGAAAAAAAAAAAACCAGCAAAGCAAAATTAAACTGTATAACTGTCTCTTCTTTCTCTCCAAAATGAACTGAGCAGATTCAGTCTCTCCAGAAAAGGAATGCGATTTCAGTACTTATTGTGGCTTGGAGCATTTTTTCCATAAATCCAATTTAAAGTTTCAAGGACATATATTCAGTTTTTTACATCCCTCTCACTGTTTAAACACAGGAGCCGCAGTTCTTTCTCAGGAACTTTTAATGATTGTTTTAGGAGAATCGTGGCTTTACTTACCACCCCAGAGAAGGGCATGGAGTCTCAATTTCTCTCTGAACCCACTTCTGGCCATCAAGACCATGGATAACCCAGCCCACAGATAACTGCAGATACCTGGATAGTCATTATTCTAGTTTTTGAGTAGTGTGGAGTCTTTAATTTCATTTACTTCCCTTCACATCTCTGCTACAGGACACCCAAGTTTTATGGTTCCAATTTTGCAGAGGAAAATGAGACAAGAAGGTGTGATTCATTTCAGCTAATTTTAAACATCTGCTGCTCCTGCAATTGTCCTGGTTGAGAGCCAGTGGAGAGAAATGGGAAATCAGTGAGATTCCCAAACCCTCTCTCCCTGATCTGTCCCACATTTTATGTGGAGCTGATTGAAAGGAGAGCCTGTTTCCTCCACAGAATGAAATCTAGCAGGTCCTTGACCAGGGTGTTTATAGACATCCACATCAGAGCAGAAGGGAAGGGACACCTTGTCTGAGCCCAGTCAGGAAGGGTGAAGCCATCCTGAGTTTTGCAATGGATTTCCACACCCCAGGAAAGACATTGTTGGTTTGGTTTGCAATCATCTGAGACTGAGGTCATTGTGCAGCATCCTCACAGGACCCTGTCCATGCCCCAGCTTTCCACGGCTGCCTCCTGGACACAGGAAGCCCAAACACGAGGTGTGACCCTACAACATGAATACCTACAGTGTGACCATGGTAACAAAGCCACAACCACCACAAAGAGCAGACAGTGATTTGTTACAGGCCATGGGACAGGCAGCAGCCCAGCCCATGGTCCCTGGGGCACAGAGAACTCCTCAGATCCAGACTGGAGCTGGCTGAGCTTTTCCATTATTTATTTGTTTCTGGCCCATGCAAGGGCCAGTGATGATTTCTGCACTTGAGGGAGACAATATCATCCCTCAATTTTCCACCTGAGATGCAAATATAAGAAATAAGCTGGGTCATGGTCGAATTCTGACCATCTGCTGATGAAACTCTAGAGGTCCAGTGGTTTTCACCAAAATAAAAAATGCCTGTCAGGCATTAAATATTACAACACTACTTTCCTCCCTTCAATTTCAACCCCTTCCCTTCCCTTCCCTTCCCTTTCTTTTTTCATGGAAAAGCATGGCATTGGAGAGAACTTGACAAAAATGTTCAGAATGAAAGATACTTAAAAAGGAAAAGTGATCAGTATTACACTTTTACCCCAAGTATGTTTTCCCATAATCAGCTTTGGGTTTTTTTATTGTTTTGCTTTTTTTTTGTTTTTTGCTTTTTGTTTTTTTTTTGGTTTTTTTGTTTCGTTTCTTTTCTGGAAAAATATCCAATTCCTGTGGAAAATTTCTGTCTCCTTTCAGCTTTGAAAGAAAAAAGGCTGTAGCATATCTCTACTTTATTATCAGCTTTATTAATTGTACTAAATCACTTTGCTCCAGATAAAAAGAACACGAAATACCACTCTGTCCATATATCATCTGCACTGAGCACACTGAAATGCTTCAGATAGGATGTGTCTGCTGGAAGATCCTTATCACCAGCTTCCCCTGCTTTCTTGAAACTCCCTTCTGTAACTGGATGTACAGCACATCCCTCTTGCCTATTTTAATAAAATGCTATCACACTAATCTTCTCATTTCAGGAAATATATGCATAATGAAAATACACCCCTATTGCTCTGGCAGCACTACTTCTATCATCCCTAGAGATGGCAATTGCCATGGTTTTGATGAAATATACAGGCACTAATTAATTATGATGTATTTTGTATCATTTTGCAATATTGATTGCCACCAAATAAATTACGGCCAGCAATAACCATATAGAACAAATTTATGAACAACACTTGGATCCTGCAGCTGGAAGTTATTGCTGTAATTAAAACCTTTCTGACTCTCTCTGTTTACAGAGGATGCCACCAAAGAGAAATTATATTGCTCAGGAGCCACCATTCTGGTACTGTGATGGGGAGACTGTGATCCTGAATTCCTGCTGTACACAGCTCTGAAGTTGTATTTTTGAAAGACAAATGTCCATCTGGTTTGAGCACAGATCATACATCTTCTTTTGCATAAATAGATTTGGATTCTTTTAGAGTTATTGATTGTAAACCAGTTATAATAAAATGTTCTATAAAATACAGGTAAAAGGAAATTAATTTGAAAAAAAATAAAAAGCAGATTTATGCAAAATGAAACTTTCTAATAGCAGCAGAGAAAGGTCCAGTGTTAAAAACTGTAAAATGATCTTGAAAAAAGGTTCTGATCTAAAACCCCAAGGGAACTGGGGTCAGCATTCAAGTGTGAGGAAGAACCTACCTCATTCTCTGATCATCGGGGGGAGTCATTTCCAGGTCATGAGTGGGTCCATTCAGACCAATCACATGCAAAGAAATTGTTGGATTTTCCATTCCAGCCTGGATTTTAAAAAAGAAGAAATTACCATATCATATACAACACAGAATGGTTTTGATTTATTGTATTGAATTGAATTTGAATCATTGAACGGGATGTGGACTGGACTGCTGTGGTCTTTCAGAGGGAGACTGCAGATCCAGGGGTGTGGCACAGAGGTGTGGAGAGGCAGGCAGGCACAAAGGGCAATTTTACTCAGGACACTTCTAACCTTAGTGAAAAATCCTACTTTTCATGGCAACTAGGAATTTTGCTATTTCCTGCACCTTTTGACAAAAGGTTGTCTAAAAGGATGATGGTTGATATAGTAAAATACTGATTCATTTTGTACTGTAGGAAAAGGTATCCCCTACTGAACCATTGTGATTTCCACAAAACCTGCACCTCTCCTGCTAAATTATGGCTCAATTTGGACCAGCATGTGAGGTCTTAGGCAATCAGTGCTTAAAGCAAGAAACCCAGAAGGAATGACTGCAGCAGACACCCCTGTGCTGCTTCAGATCAGGAAATGACAGCAATAGCAGCAGTGAGTCTGTGCTGGAAGAGAGCTGTGTCAGTGCTGTGCATCCACTGCAGGTCTCTGCAGTCAAGGGGAGATTGGCTCTTAAGTTTTTTCTGTCTTTCAGGCACAGCAAATCTCTACAACCAATGTCTCCTCTGATATTAGACCATCCTGGATATTCTAAGGATGCCCAAATACTACATTTTCTTTCTATACAAAAGAGAATCTATGTAAATACAGAATATATGTATGTGTGTACTTATCTGATCTATCATCTAAAATCTAAATATAGAAATATATCTAAATATAGAAGCATATCTAAATATAGAAACATATCCAAATATAGAAATATAGAAGTTCCAAACCCTCAGACACCATCCAACTTCCATCTGTTCCAGCATGGAAGGACAATTGCTTTTGTGTGTGTAAAATGCAAGGATTTTAAAATTTTATTTCCACTGTATGTAGAATTACTAATTCTCACAGGACCAGAAAAGTTCAATTTTACAAATGCAGCTAAAGAGTGATGGAGAGCACAGACTCTGGGGAACAGCTGATCTTCCCTTGGATCTGTTTATTTTCATTGTTTATGAGTGTGCATTATTAGTCTCCTGTCTGAGCCTACTGGAAATAAACAATTATTAATTTCTGATAGAGCAGCAGGACTGATTATTTTACTTTCCCTTACCTTTGGATAATGATATGTTTTAACAGTAGGGTAAAGGATGCCTGTATATATGGGGATCTCCATGGTGGGGACTCTGGAGGCATTAATTGTTGCATATGCCAGCCTGGTGCCATCAGGAGACCACCAATGAGCAATGTGAGTCTTCAAGATCTCCTCTAATTAAAAAATAGAGAGGGAGAACAGAAAGAAAAAAAAAAAAGGCTATTAGAGGTAAATTACTAGTTAGTAATAAATGAAACAGTGCAGATATGAAAATCCCAGTCTGATCACAGCACAGGGAGGATGCCACAGGAATATCAATCAAAAACACTCATCAAATTATGCCATATACACAAATGAACACAATTGATAACAATTACTCTGTATTTATAGGTTATTAGGCTTAATTACCTTTGCTGAAGAAACATCAAATTATTCATATTAGTACACATTCATGACAGCATAGAAGGCCCTGCTGCTCCTGCCATGTGTCCTGCACATGATTAGGGTTCACAGCATCACACTAGACACATATCAATCAATTCAAACAAGTACTTCAGCAACAATTTAAATCCTCCTTAATTCTGTTGCCAGTTAGGAATAAATAAATATTGAAATTTTCTATAACTTATGAAAGGCTGAAACTTCAAGATACCAGGCCTTAGAGTCTGTACATTGGATACCATCTTGACTTTTACCCCTACTTAATTTTTTGAATCACTTTTGCAAGGAAATTTGCCAAAAGGTATCCAGGGTTAGAGCCTGATCCTTTATACCACTGAGTTTTGGCATTTTTGAGATTTCAGTAATATAATTACCATTGAAAAGGTGCTCAGGAAGATGCCAATGCAAGCATGTCAGAGTTCAAGTATGTAAGGAGAAAACAATATTTCCATCATGTGAAATTACTTTTAATTAATTACTTTTAATTAACTAACCTTGTTCTCATTAAATTTAAATTCAAATAGCTTCTAATTTCTCATACTTTTCATATAATCCAATACCTTTCATTGTAAAGAGGAATTCATCTTACAGATCTGCAGAAAAGTTATAAAATTTACTCTTGGTCCAAAGTGTCTCCAGTTACTGACATTTGGAAGACATTAACTTGGCTTTTTAAACCTCCCATTTTGTGAAAGACAATAATGTAATCCATTTTCATTAAGAGGCTTAATATCATGTGAGTCATTGCTATTTAAACCACCAGAAGGGCTTGCATATGCTCTACAGATTGATGGGCAGGAAGATGGGTCCCATTACTTTAATGTGAGAATAAAAATTAAAGAGGCTGTTGGCTGTTTCACCATGAAGTCCTGCTACACAGGTCCAAGCAGCTCCAATGCCTGCTGCCATCACTGGTCATTGGAAAAATGGATGGGGATTTTCTGAGTTCAGACCCACCAGGTTTGTACACCCCCTTCTGATGACCCCCAGTCCAACCAGGACATCCCTCTGGTCTGAAGAGTAGAAACTCACCAGACACTGTTTAATTAAAAAAAAATAAAAATTGAATAAGCAATCCTTGGAGAACAGACAATTATATTTATCACAGGGTAAATAAACACTTTGTTAATCAAGACTTGCATATGGCTTGGAATAAAACTCAAGGTAGCATGAGAAAGGGTGCAAGGGAAAATTCATCCTTGATACTTATGGTTTTCAGAAATAACAAATTAATTAATCAAAGCTTAATGGCAGCATGTAAGTGGGGTTTTGGAAAGATATTTAGGAAGTTAAAGACATTTCATGGGAAAGCACATCTGGCAAATTTGCTTTGCTGCATTGTCCCACCTGTTATGTGTATATTTAAAAGATGCTTTTGACTTTTATATTGGTTGCCCATTAAAGAGATAATGAAGAGCATAAAGGAAAAGGAGTAAAGATGGATGGCAGATGAATCCTTGACATTTTAACATTAATTAGGAATGACTTTATTCAGCAAACATTTTCTCCAGGATCTCAGACTTAATGAAGCAGTTCTGCTGAAGGTCACACACCCAGAAAGGTTTTAGTGCAGGTTTTGTGGTCCTCTGTTAATGAGATTTAATTGAGTGAACCTTTGCCTTGAAACAAAGCCAGGACCTTGCTGTTATTAGAGAGATCAGTTAGTTTTAGCCAACCAGAGGACATTCTTATGCCTGTAGAATGGATTAGTACTAGAAAGTTCTTTCAGCTGAAAGAAAAATTGATTTGCAGACAATTTGTTCTTGGAGACAGTTTATTCCTTGTGTTTGCATTTAGCACATGCTCTGAAAATCAGCTGCATTCAATACTGCTGGGTCTTTCTAAAGTTAGTTCAGATCCTGCCTCATGTATATGAAAAAACAGATTCTCCTTAATCACTAAAGCCCCCCTATGTATATGGATCATGACCTCCTGACTGAGAGCATAAAGTCATAATTGATCAAAACCTTTGCCCTCTTCCCCAGAGCCTGCAGTTGCTGAGTGCTACATGATGTCAGGATGCTGAGTGAGCTGCTGAGATTCCTCACAGTCAGGTCCTGGTGGCTTTATGCCCCTTCTTTCTCCACAGTTTTGCTTGCCAGCCCCAATAGGGTGTGCAAACTTGAAAAACAATGAGAGTAAAGTGTGTGGTTGCCTTAGCTGAACAAGGGCTGCTCAGACCTGCTGGCTGGGTTCAAGCACAGGGTTTGGGACAAGTCAGTGCTCAGTCCATCTCAGAACATTCGATAGTGAATCAGTCTGAAACAGCTGGCTGACCCTGCTCACGAGCAGTGACTCTTCAGTGGGCACATGTACAGCCAGTGAGGTGTTTGTGCTCAGGGAATGTTGCAGGATGTGTATTTTAACCCTTTTTTCTATCTGAATAAGGCCCAATTGAATGATCATTTCAAAGGTGTGTGAAACAAAGAGTATTCTAGGTTAAACAGAGCACCAGGAGGAGGATCTGAAGTCCTAGGTCAGAGTATATTCAGTGACAACTGGGTATGTATCCCTGTCAGAGGCTTCAGTATCATTGGAGGAGAACAGAAACTGGAGGAAAAAACCAGAGGTGTGATGAGAGGAAGGTTCCCAGAGATGAATTCAAGGTTGCTGCAATAGTGCATTACATGGGTGGCTCTTTGCAATCAAGGCCTGAGCAGCACCCAGAGTGAGCCAGGCTGCCCAAAATGGGAATGCCAGATCTTCTGAAGGATGTGTTTCCTGACAGAAGCTCTCCTGCTCACGTCAGGGAGCAGAATGACAAGTCCCTTGCAGTGGTTCTCAGCTGACAAGCAACAGGCTGTGGTTAATATCTGGATATTGGATGTAGCATTTGGCTATGATACCATGTGGGTAATCCCTGGAAAGGCTGAACAGTGGATCAGAAGTTGGGTGGACACTTCTAGCAGGTCTCTTACCAAAAATTAGCCCAGCATATATAAAGTTAAGCAGCTACCAGATTGTTTCAAACTGCAATTTAATTCCCACAGCAATTGAAAGAGCAGTGAAATGGAGATTTTATCTCACTTCAGGTAACAAACTTCTCAAAGAATCACAGCAAATTAATCTGGAAGAGACCCCAGAAATCCTCTGGCTCATTCCTCCAAGGATAAGATCCATCCCAATCCTGTAAGGATCTTCACAAGTGGATTTTGCTATTCCTTTTGATACTTGTACAGCAGCTTTAGCCATATAATTCAAAATTTTATAATTATCACATCCATCTCTAATTCACTGTCCCAGTGAACTGCATTTAGACCTCTGACTTCCTTGACAGACTCAATGCAGGGAAAAGCACCAGGCCTTTATCTTATGCAGCCTCTGTGGCAACCAGAAGGTTCTGGAAAAGAAACCAAACTGTTGTATGCACCACATTTGGAAATCCAGAGATGGTTTTACTGTTCTGAACCATAATCTGCCACTGGGCCATTTCTAAAGACATTTCCATGACAAATCCAGTTCCCAGGCTTGCACAGAGCTCTAGACTGGCAGAGCTCCTCTTTGTTAACAAACACATACATGTAAATGCCATGGCCACGGAGGTTTCTTCATGCTCCTCTAAAATCCAACTAGTTCTGCAGCCTTTGTCCATCCTGAGTCATATTTGTGAATTTGGCCTTTTTGTTGAAGGTGGCAAAGTTCTGTCTTGCTGCTTGGAAAAGATGAAGCCTTCACCAGTGAGTGACTGAGAAATCCATTGGTAGCTTAGAGATTACTTGCAATGATATCAGGAGAAAAAACAGAAAAAAGATAATTTTCAAGTAAAAAAAAAACCACCTTTTCCTGGGCCTTCCTGTTAAAACACAAAAATAACTTGTAATTTTCATGTGAGTTAACAGAGAGACTTGCACAAGAAGAGAAAGATTCTCAGACAGGCCAGTCCTCTGACAGTCTGACCTGTACCATTGCAACTCTTTTCTATCACTAAAAACATAAAAAAAAATAAAATTCGAAGACATTAGCAATTTAAGGTTCAAAAGCTCTCAGGACCAGTGCTCTTTCTTGCTGATTTGGTAAAGTACAGCAGTTCTGGGGAGGGTAGCCAATGGTTCTGTTTGTGTGATGTATTGTAGCTGATGCTCAGATCATGAAATATTTGGTGTGCTGAAGACATTTTGCTGTTTTATTAAAACTGTTAATAAAAAGGAATTTTAAGCAAAATGAAATTAAAGCCTGACATAAAGGCCATGGCTTATGTTGGGAAAGAAAGCTCAAAAGAAATTGTCAGTAGGATGTATCAAAAGAACATGAGAGGAAGAGAGATCAGAGAACAGCAAGAGGGTCTGGGAAAGGAGAAAACAAAGACTACTGAGAGAGTGAAACCCCAAGGGTTCTCATAGAAACATCAAATAAATACAAATGCTTATTTGACAGCTGCCATCTGTTTTAAAATCAATTACTAGATCATCTCAAAGCACCAACCACATGTCCAAATCGATTACTATTGTGGAGTGTGAAAGCAAGTATTTTTAGCCAGTTAGGGAAAACTCATTGTTCATATTCGCCTTTCCTGACACGTGTTTCAGGGATGGAAAATGACCTTTTATTCTATGCAACCAAGTTTTTCTCTCAGTTGTTGCAGTGTAGGTCTACACTGACTTCCATTAAATCACTGTAATAGACATAAAATGAGTGTTAAAAAGTAGCTATGTGTATGCAAATTGTATAAGACTGTTTTAGATTACCATACCAAATCTACATTTTCATGTGTTGACATTATTTTCTGCTGATG